TATATATATATATATATATATACACACACAGAGTAATGATTACCACAATCAAGTTAACACATCCATCATCTCACATAGCTACCTGTGTGTGTGTGTGTGTGTGTGTGTGTGTAGAACACTTAAGATCTCTCTTGGGAAATTTCAAGTAAACAATATAGTAGTAGTATTTATAGTCACTATGCCATATATGTTAGACTCCCAGAACTTACTCATTTTATTACTGAAAATTTGTACTCTTTGACCAACATCGAATCCCATTTTTCTACTCAATCCATGCGTCATCCTTTTCAAAGGCATGCTTTACTTCCCTGAAACTTCTCACCACAGGCTGCAGCAAAAGGTGACAGAGATGAGCAGATACCTATAAGGACATCCACTCTGTGGCAGACACCAAGTGCTTCATATGAGTTCATTTCATCTCACCATAAATCTGTGAGGTGGGTACTATAATTATTCTCATTTTACACATGTGAAAACTGAGGCACAGAGAGGTAAAGACACTTGATTAAGATCTCACAGTGGGTTTAATATCTGAGATCTACTACCACAAACTGAGTTTTTAACCTATGTGACACATTCACCACCACCACCACCACCACCACACCACATCACACTGACTTTTAAGCTGTGTGATTCATTTCAATGAAGCCTTTTGAGTACAAAGGGAAGGCAGGCCTCAGTATAGCATTGTGCAAAATATTCTGAAATATTTGGGGGCTCAAATATCTGGAGCTTAAAATATCTGAGGCTCAAAAAAACGACTTGATAATTTTCCAAAAAAATTTCTCAAGTAAGTTTCCCAAAAAGTTACACTTCGGGAATAAGGAATCCACAAGCACAGTACAACAAGCAGCTACTGAAGTGTGTGCAAAACTGTCGGTCCCCTCCACCCTGTCCCCAGATGTTCCAGGCCATGCTTGCTGTTCAGTTTCTGCTGTGGAAAAGCCATTTGGAGAGCTACTTGCTCGGCTGGGCTTCCCATAGAAGAAGCAACGCTGGGGGGAGAGCAGGGCGGTTTGAGGTGGGGGGGTCGGTGTCCACTGAGATTCCTCAGGCGAGAACCCCGGGGCGCGCTCCACCGAGGCCCCAGCGAGGGCCCAGGCGCATCTCCGCCGCCGCGAGCTCGCGGGCCGCCAGCCAGAGGCGAGGGCGGCGAGGAGGGCGGCAGCGTCCGGGGGAGGGGAGCTTGTCCCCACCACATAGCCCCGGCTCGGCGGGAGGGCTCGGCGGAAGGGTGGGGTATTCTGAGGAAGCCGTGGCGACTTTCCTTCTCTTTCTTTTCTCTTTTTCTTTCTTTCTTTTTTTTTTTTTTGAGACGAGTCTCGCCCGCCCTGTCGCCCAGGCTAGAGTGCAGTGGCGCGATCTCGGCTCACTGCTACCTCCGCCTTCCGGATTCCAGCAATTCTCCTGCCTCAGCCTCCTGAGTAGCTGGGATTACAGGATTACACCCCCAGCTAATTTTTATATTTTCAGTAAATACGGCTTTTTCCCATGTTGGCCAGGATGGCATCGATCTTTTGACCTCGTGATCCGCCCGGGGCCCTGGCGACTTTCTTGACTACCCAGGCAGAGCACACCCAGCCCCTCACACTCAGGCATTTCTGCGTCCTCTGGTTTGGAGGGAACCCAGGGGGCTGGGGTAAAGCAGGCCAGGGCTGTTTCTCCGCCTCTTCCGGAAGACGACCCGCTGCTCGGGCCGCCTCATCACTGCGGGTCACGAGGAGGGTGAAGGTCCTTCCTGAGCTCACCGCGGACCGCTGGGCCAGGTGGGCACCTCCAGGTTTCTCTGGGGTGGGGGCGGAGGGATTCCTGGAGGCGGCAGCGCCCGGAGGCGGGCAGGTGGGCAAGCGGTAGGCGTCAGGCAGCGCTCAGGCTGCAGGCGCCGAAGGAGCCAACCAGAGAGGAACAAAATGGCAGCCACGACGCCACACCTGGCAGCCGCACACAAACACTCGCCGCACAAACGTTTACTGATTGCGGCACAGAGTATTCTCTTCTTGTTCGTCCTTATTCTTTCTTTATGCTGCTGTCCTTGACCGGATTGGCCTATTTTTTCTCCTTTTCCTGTCCAGTTTCCTGTTTATCCTTTAAGACTTGATCAGGCAACTCCTTCCCTGAGCCCCGACTTCCCCCTCAGCCCCCTGCCCCTCTACCTGTCTGCCCCTGACTGGTGTAAAATAACCTGCTAGGGAGTCAGCCTAGGACCAGGAACTTCCTATGTTTTGGGTGGTTTTGCTCAACTTTGTCCTTCCAGTGCCTGGCTTTCTGTCAGCACGTTGAGGCGGTGTAGAGCTCCTGTGGGATGCTCCGAACTGCATCCGGGATACCACTTGTCCGTGTGAAAGATCCCTCCATGACAGTTTTGGCTGTCTAATGATCTACTTATTTTTATTATTTTTAAGATTTCGCTAATCTCNGCATTTGCTTGTTTAGGAAACACTTTATTTCTCCTTAAAAATATGGAATGCTTCACAAGTTTGCATGTCATCCTACTTCAGGGGCCACGCTAATTTCTGTATCATTCCAATTTTAAGTATACATGCTGCTGAAGCGAGCACATGATCTTCCTTTTGGAAGCCTGGGAAATGATGGAAATGAACCTATGAGAATCTGCCTTTTGCTTGAGAGTAGGGCTAAAATGTCCACTACACTCTGTGACTTTGACTTGAGTGAACCTATCTGGAACAGGGTGTACTGGAAAATGACCTATACTAATATGTCACCATAATCATTTAATTATCTTAGATATCCATTAAAGTACTGCCTGTATTACTCAAGTTTGGACCTTTAAAAGAAATACCCAGTTGAGAAATCTTATCCTGTTCCTGTGAAGGAAATGTAAAATATGTTGAGAAGGCCTGAAGAAACACTGCATATGATTGTTATTTCCTCCTTCTTAATTTTTCTTTTTTTCCCAGTGCCTTTCTTCATTTCAGGCATGGTGCTTTGAACACTTTGACTTGGAGGCAAGATTGTGATATAGAAAATGGGCCACTGTGGAGGAGATCAGTAAATGCTTTGTCACTTTTAAGTGACAGGGGAAACTGATCATGATTGGCACACTTCTAACATGTAACTTTATACATCTTTAGTAGATCGTTGGGGAAATTAAAAAAAAATCTGAAATCTCCGAATAGGTTTTACTTTGTGTGGCTCCAACTAAATGAACTAAATTTGTGTTTAAAGATACTAAGTTTACAAGTAATGGTGAGAGCTGAGGTTTAACACTGCACAAAATAGTGCTTTCCCCTGTGGAGGGATAGGAGACCGGAATAGGAGGGGTGGGTGGGGGAATCAGTTTAGGCCAAACATTAGAAATTTCAGTGCAGTCTTCTTAGTCATCACTTTCATTTCTGTCTTCTAGGGAAATCTGACACAGCTAGAAAGCAATGGAAAACACAAAGAGTTGCATCAGATGTTGAAGAGGAACTGATATTATGGGATAAAAAATGATTCTTTAAAGGAGATAACTGATCATTTAAAGGTAGCAGCCTTTTTGGGAAAAGCTAACAAGGGTTTCTGAGGCCAACCTGCTGCTTGTTAGGAATATTGGCCCTAAGTTAGAAGGAAGAACAGATGTGTTTTGATGCTATTCCTCTTCCTCTCAGGATAGATTTGCAAGCATGCAGTAAATGAATTTTCATGTCTTTTCAGGATGTTTCCCTCTAGAGCAGTTTCTAGATTCACTCTGTGGAACAGTCTACAATAGATTTAATATGGTTAGAATTTTGCCTAATTCTGATGGGTGAGTGGTTTTCTTTTATTCATTCTTAATTCTCCATCTAATATTAGCCTACAGTGTTACTGTCACTGTGTGTAACCCAGAGAGAGAACGGAAGTAAAAGATGTGACCTCAGAGAGCTCAGAGGGCAGAAACAACACAATAACGATAACTCACATTCATATTGAACTTAAAAATTTAAAGGTTACTTTTTACTGTTTTACCTCATTTGTTCTCTCTGCAAGCACATTGGGTAGGCTTTACTATTCCCATTATACAAGTGAAGACAGTGAAGCTTGGAGAAGTTAAGGAACTTCCACCAGATCACATTCCTGTAAATGGCAGAGTCTGAACTTAGTATTCTGACTCTAAAACAGCATCATCAGGTTCCATTCAAAGGTAGTGAGTACTGTACAAGAACATACTAATGAGGCTTCGTGACTAGTCAGAGCGAAATGGAGCTCTTCAGGGACGGTACCTTGGGGAAGCACACAGTGTGTGCAGATTACTGGAGAGAGTCAAAGGAGATCCTGCTGTGGGGAGAAGGATGGAAAGTGCCATGGGAAGAGAGCAAGGGCAGAAATGAGATTGGCACGTGGGGTTGAGGAAGGAGGCAGGCCTTCATAAGCAGAGGAACCATGATTGGGAGTAGTGGGGGCTAAGTGTAGGAGACATTGGGGGCTGCATATGTAAGGGGTTGGGGAACAATAACACCTGGAAGTATCTTTTCATTACCTCAAGAAACCCGCAGGGAAGGGGCTATGAGTGCTCCTAACAACATGTTCTGCACGGGTGCCTCAATGGGTAGAAAAGGGGGTTGCCAACTGAGTTATATGTAGAACTTGTGCAAAGGAAGTTCTTATGCAGAATGACTAAACACACTCCATTGCTCTGCCTGGTTACTTATAAATATTGTTTATATGCAGAAGTTGATGGGTATCCAGAAATTGTCTAAAAGATGGCTCAGAGAATAAAATGAGAAAAAGTTGTGAAAGACAAAGGGTTTCTAGGTTACCCACAGCAGTTGATGGCAGTCTGTCCCTCTGTCATAGTAGAGACAATTTAAGCCACATTCCCAACAAGTGTTCCGTATATCTGGCACTGACACATTGGAACCTGGGGGAGACTATATGACCTAGCTTTACTCTAGGAAGGATAGGCAATCTGGGGGTGGAGAGGGAAGTGAGACCCCATACAAACCTGGGTGATCTCTAAAGTTATGTAACTGTCCAGCCACAAATCACTTATTAAACAACTGGATTCAGAAGACCAAGATCACTGTGCATTTGGTTCACTCCAGTTATCTTGAGGTCTGGGACCCATGGGACTGGGGTGGCAGCTGATCATGTCAGGGGGACTCCTGCATTGTCCCACAAGCACAGGAGAGAATGCTAAACTTGATTGGGAACTCATGGAAGGCCCCTGGAACCCAGAGTTGGGGAGGCAATAAGGTGGGGAGGCTTAAAGAGTCTGGATAGAGGAGCTGGGTTGCAGAAGTTCTCTCTTTTCTTCCTTTGAAATTTCTAGGTAAGTCCCAGGGAACAAATGATGAAAAGAAACATCTGGTGAGTTAGCGCTTGGCTGGCTGCACCTAGAGCATCTCATCCAGGGAAATATTTGCCTGATTCTAGCACAGGGATTACAGTTTGCTGACCCAGGTTGGTTAAAAGCATAGGCTCTAAAATCAGGGAGTATGCAAGTTTACTGAAGCTCTTGGGGCTTGAATTTCCTCTGTAAATTAGGGATAATAGTAGTACTGATCTTGGGGTGAGGACCAAAAAATGAGACAGTGCATGCATTTCAGGTTGGGTTTGTTGGGACACAGATTTTGAGATGGAGATTTGCATGCAGGAGCATTACTAGGGAGTCATTTTGAGATCAGTATTTTGGGGAAAGTGAAGATAGCATTATTGGGCACAGGGAGAAGGAGAATTCTGACGCAGTTGTAAAAAAAACCTCACTTATCCCACCAGTGGCTGTGTAGCTGCAATAACCCTTCAAAGTTATTTTGACCTGAGGTCGGTCTTATAGCCCTACGTCAATTAATCATTGGATATAAGATGCTCCTGGGATCGGGATGTGATCTTAGGCAAAGAAACTGTTCAGCAAAGGGAGAATGCCTAAAGAGGGATTCAGCTGATAGCTGTTAGCCATCAACATTCCCTGCAGGTGGGGAAATGAGTGCTTGAGCCCTGAAGGAGGCATAAACCTGGGTGATACACCACAGATTCTCTGCAGTCCATTCATTGCACCTCAGTCACTTGCTTCCTATCATAAGTTCTGATAGTAGCTCTTCTAGATTCTGGTGGTCTTCTTTTCCTGGGGAAACATACAAGAGAAAGGTGATTGGAATGACCTAGTGCCCTCACCACAGCAGCTGCTCTAGTGGCTGCAACTGATACTCATTGTCTTCCTCCTTTACTACCCATTTTAGTTTCCCCTTCCCATCTGGTCCAAGTGGTTTACCTGGCAGGTATAAAACGAGGCTGTGACAGCTGTATTTACCTATTTTCTATTAAGAGACACCCAAGGAGTTTACCTGGGTTCCAAACATAGTCTTCCCTGCTCCCAGTCGGTAAAAGCAGCCCTCTCACTCCCTGGCGACCAGAATCAACTACTCATGCCAGGAGGCTGACTCCTTTTCTTGGCAGCTGTTCTCTTTGTAGGCAGAATGTGAAGCAACTGGGTGGCAGCCACACCTTATCATTTAATGGAAAACTTACTGTGTCCTCTGGTGGAAGCAAGCAATCAACAATGGTGCAAGCCATTGAATCTTTGTAGAGTTTATCTCCCGTCATCTGAAGGGCATATGACTTATCAAGGCATCCAACATACTTGCTACCTCTTTCTCCTTGGGTTCCAGTAGCATAATGTCATCAATAGCGTGGACTGATAGGATGATTTGCAGGATAGCAGATGACCCAGGTTTCTTTGGACTATGTTTTGATGGAAGGTGGAGGAGTTAACACAGCCCAGGGGCAAGAGTGTAAGACAATGTGTACTATTAGACAATAGTCTAAGGAGAACTGCTTTTGATCTTTCTTTCTGATAGAGGTGGAAAAGAATGCATTTGTCAGATCCATGGCTGCAAACTATGTACTGGAGGCAACACTAATCTGCTCTAATCAAAATATCACATCTGGCAAAGCGTTTGTGGTTGGGGATAGTGCTTAGTTGAGTTTGCGCTAGTCCAGTCATCTTCCAGGATCCACCTGGGTTTGGTAAAGGTCAGTCTGATGAATTAAGTAGGAATGTGAAGGGGAACGCCACCCTGCATCCTTAGATCCACTCTTCCCCTCGGGATATGATACTGTTGTTGATTTATTATATTACCATGGCTGGGTGGGAAAGGCAATTTCAGTGGCTTCTACTTAGCTTTCCCACTGCGATGTGTGGATGCTCTGCCAACAACCAAGTATGTTTATTCTAGTTATGAATGCAGGAACAGGAAAAATGACTAAGTAAGTCCAGAGATCCAGTGTACCCACTGTGAGCCATAGTTGACCCAGAACTCCATTTTTTTCTTTTTTTTGAGATGGAGTCTCACTCTGTCGCCCAGGCCAGAGTGCAGTGCTGCGATCTCGGCTCACTGTAACCTCCGCCTCCCGGGTTCTAGTGATTCCCCTGCCTCAGACTCCCGAGTAGTTGGGACTGCAGGTGTGTGCCACCACGCCCAGCTAATTTTTTGTATCTTTAGTAGAGACGGAATTTCACCGTGTTAACCAGGTTGGTCTCCATCTCCTGACTTCATGATTAGCCTGGCTTGGCCTCCCAAAGTGCTGGGATTACAGGTGTGAGCCACCATGCCTGGCCAACTCCGTTTATTAATTGGCCTCCTCAAGCCTCCACTCTAATGATGGTGGTGGTGGAACATGATGTTACTTTGGATCCCTGGGTTTCAGTGTGAACTTGCGTTCTGTGTCCAACCATTCTCAAAATGCTTGGGATTTCCCCCTTTCCCAATGTACAATTACTTGAGTGAAGGACCATAGATTCCCTGAAGGAAGGATTGAGATAATGATTACTATATATACTTATCATGGTGTTACAGGATCCTTCCTCCTAGAGAGTCTCTCCTTTAGTCAGTAGATCCTGGGTCAGAACATTGGCTCAGATCCAGAAACTGGGCCAGGGATAATGACTTTTAATTGGGCTGCCCTTAGTCTCTTCATCACCAACCCTTGATTTTTTGGGGGGGTTAGAGGGGAGTAACGGGCTATAGATTGAACATTACTCTTACTGACTTCCCCTAGGAATCCTGAATTCTATTAACTATCTCCACAGATTATGACAGTTGTGACCACCTTGCTTCTAGTGGTTAAAGGTGGCTACCTGGCCTCTTTTTAGGATCCTCCCTAAAAAGGGTTTTAGGATCCTTTTCAGGATCCACCATTGCTATCCATGAGTTCAGCTCTGTAATAACAACTACTGCCATCAGCCTGATTCTATGGCCACTGAGAATTCTACTAAGAATTTCAGTAGAGGATGTTTTCTACTGAAATTCTCGATGATGTTGGTGGCCCTCTCACCAGGGCATTCCTTGTCACTTTGATAATCAGAATATCTTTTGGTCCCTCTCATGAAACAAAGCCATCTGGTGTATTTTCTCATCTTATTTAGTGTGTCTGCTCTAGCATGCCTAGTTTTCTGAGCCTTTTGATCTTTTCTTCCACTGTTTGCTGTGGCAGTTCTAGCATTTCTACTTTACTGTTTTCTCCAAACTTAACCCAAGCCATCCTACAGGTGTCTTAGCACTGTCTTCTGGGGCATTAAATACTGTCCAAACATATTATTCTAGTTCCTGCTGACTTATGGTAAGTACTTCAGTTTACTTGAGGATATAATCTTTCTTTTTTCCTTAGAAGACCCAGAACTTCCTTAATTGGGTTATGTTGTGATTTAATTGTAGTTATTGGTCTGACAGCCAAGATGGGAGGTAGGAGTAGCTTCTGAGAAGGCGTATTATTTTATCTGTTGCCATGTAACAAAATCTAGCAGCTTACAATAACAAAATTTGGCCGGGTACAGTGGCTTACGCCTGTAATCCCAACACTTTGGGAGACTGAGGCAGGTGGATCATGAGGTCAAGAGATCGAGACCATCCTGGCCAACATGGTGAAACCCCATCTCTACTAAAAAATACAAAAATTAGCTGGATATGATGGCACATGCCTGTAGACCCAGCTGCTCAGGAGGCTGAGGCAGGAGAATCCCTCGAACGAGGTTGCAGTGAGCTGAGATCATACCACTGCCCTCCAGCCTGGCGAAACAGTGAGACTCTGTCTCAAAAAAAAAAAAAAAAGAAAAAAATTATTATCTCAGGATTTCTGGCTCAAGGTCTCTCATGGAATTTCAGTCAAAATGTTGGCTAGGGCTGTGGCCATTTGAAGGGTTGACTGGGGTTGGAGGATCTACTTCCAGGATGGCTCATAACATGGCTGTTGGCAGGAAGTCTCAGTTACTCACTGGCTATTGGCAGGAACCCTCAGTTTGTTGACATGTGGATCTCTCCATCATGCTGCCTGAGTATACTCATAACATAGGAGGTAGCGTCCCCCAGAGTGGATAATCCGAAAATAGCAAGAAGGAAGCCACAATTTCTTTTGTGGCCTAGCTTCAGAAGTCATGCTCTGTCATTTCTGAAATATCCTATTGGTTACAGAGATCATCTTTATTCAAAGTAGAAGGGGGACTACATAAGGGTGGAACTATCAGAAGGCAGGGACCATTGGGGCTATTTTAAAGACTGCCCAGCATAGGCAAGTGTTATTTTGCAAAAAGAGGCCTTACCTATCTTCAGGAAAGAGGTAGTGATAGACTTTATCAGAAAGGAGAGAGCCAATTCTTTAGGCTCAGAGGGTTTGGGAGTAGGGTGGAAAATCTAGGGATTTGAGATTTGTGAGTGTATCAACTTAGATGTCCCCATTTCAAGTCTCAGGGTCTTACCCCTTCATAATTAGAGACCAGACACTGATGTGGAATACCTTCTAGGTTGAGAATTCAATTCCCTCTGTGGTTCTGCTATTCTTATAATGAAGTCCTGGGTCTGATACTCAGCGTTTTCTGCCCTCTGGCTGCAGGATATGAGAGTTTGTCTGTGTGTTTCCAATAAGGCCTCTGGTAGTCACATTTAACTTTAAATAGTGATTAATCACACTCAGTCTTTCATTGTTTTCACTCAATACATCTCTCACCCCAAAAACAGCCATCAAATTCCATAGTCCTTATCATTATTATCCAACCCATATCTCAAATACTTAATATATTGCACCTGACAGTGCATTCCCTTCTACTGTTTCCCATCCTAGTTCATCCTAATGCAATTTTTAAAAAATTCACTATGGTTACATATCAGGGTATCTCAGTGCTTCATCTTATCACTGGGGCTGAGGTCCTCAAGTAGCCCATTTTAATGTTGCTTCCTCAGACCACTCCCTCACCAACTTTTGCT